TGGGAGAGATGCTGGCTCAGCTGGTGCAGCAGTGGCAGTGGCAGCTGCCCACAGGTAGGTGTTAACAAGCGAAAGGTATGTGGTAGATCCCTAAGTGGCCACCCAAACAGGACTACATCCAAGCCCACTGGCCCCAATGTAGCCATGGGAATCGATCCTTTCCAGTCTTGCTGCTGCCTCAGGGAACAGGATGTCTTCAGGGTTCATGGCCCTGCAGTGCTCCTGGTCTGAAAGCCTTATTCCCCCAGGCTTGATTAGAAGCTTTATCACTCCATACGCTTTCCTGTCTCCCTCAGCCAGGCCATCTTGCAACACCTGTCCTTATGCAATCGCAGTTGCTGTCACAGCTCCAAACTGCTTTGGGTCATTGAGCCCTGGGGTGCTGGGTAAAAGATACAGCAGGAAGCAGCAGCAGTCTGTACAACAGTGAGGGTGCTGGTGATCATCAGTGCTAGGTGATTTGGCTTGGTGGGTACCAGGAAAAGTCTGGCCTATATTGGTTGCCCTAGAAATGACACTGACCTTAGCCCTACCCACAAAAGATTTATTATAGCTTGTAGCCCTGGCAACTCAAGTTGTTCCCCAGGAACAGAAAGAGGAAGAACCTCAGCTCTGCTAGGAGGGCCCCTCATCTCTACCTTTGGAACCCTGTGCCAGGTGCAGGGCACCACTTTCCACATCCCTATGGAAGAATCTCGTTTCAGGGGTAGGAGGCCATTCCACGTGAGGTCTTTCTGTTCTGTGCATGGGATGTAGGGACACAGCCTTTCAGTGAGCCTCTGCCCTTTCACTCCATGGCTCTCAGGTGTGATCTGGCTTATTGTGGACAGAATTCTAGGGAGTTGTGCTCCTACTTCCTCACCCACAAAGGCTACCATGACTGGCTTAAGGCTGGAACTAAGCTAGAGGACTGTTGTCTGCAGACCGTGGTTGTGGCCTTGTGGGGCACATGTGGTGAGCCAGGATGAGTCACTCCAGCTTCATGGTGCGTGTGTGCCTGGGAGCAGTGGGCTTAGATTCACGGCCGCTGGCAAAGCTGTGTAGAGGGGAACTCAGCCTAGTCATTAAGATGTTTTGCTAGGTCAGAGATTTTTCCATTCTTTGCCACTGGCCCAGAGAAAAGGTGTGAGGGACAAGGGCTGGGGTTGCCCATGTCAGGGAAGGCAGCTGCGGTCCCAGCCTTGGTGTCCAGCCCTAGCTTGTGAGGCTGACCTGGTGCTTTTCTGACCAGCATCTGGCCAGCGAGCTGGCTGGAGTCTGGGACTGAAGGAAGGGCTGCAGAGAGGTATGATAGCTACCAGTCCTTTGAACCTGTGTTCTGGAGTTAGAAAAGGGTGAGGGAAGCTGGGAGGGAGGGCAGGGGTGGATAATCTCCAGATTTCAGCTTCCTTCATTCCTGGCTCTAAGCAGAAAGGAAAGAACAGGAAATAGAAATGGTAGGATGAGCCAGAAGTGGTGGTACACACTGTATACCCAGCACTCAGGGGTCTGAGGCCAGCTTCAGCCACATAGCAAGACCTTGTCTTGAAAAAAGTAGGATGGCGGGATACCATACCAAGAGTGGTAGATAGTAGAGGAAACTACTGGGAGAAAGGGAATGAAAAATCCAGGGAACAAAGGATGGGGTCCACCTGGGAGACCCCTTCTCTCAGGAGAGAGAAGGAGGGGAGAGGGTGGATGAGCAGGAACCTGGACACAAACATGGGGACTGACTCTTGGAAAAGGGAGAGGCCAAGGCTGCAGCAGCTACAGACCTTTCCAGAAAATTCTGCAAAGTGAAGACACTGATAACCCGACACCCACATTTCTTTGTTATGCTCTGTGGAAGACCCAGAGAAATCCCCAGAATGAAAGGGTAAATGGCCAGGAGCTCCTGGCCATGGCAGAAAGGGAGGGGCCTTTCCTATCCTCTGGCTAAACAGCAAGGCTGAGTCCCAGGCATCTCCTCGGCTGGGGGGAGGAGATGGTATTTACCCCATGCGCCTGTCTTGTCACCACACAAATAGCCCAGACACCTGGCTGTTGATACAACAGCATCAGGTGGAAATGTCTAGGGGTGCTGAGACGTCTAGAGGGATGGTTTACTCATTGGGTTCACTCCATCCCTGGGTGACACCTACCTCCCCCACCCAACCCCCTCACTATTTCTACTATGCTCCAACCCCAGCAGGGTTAGCCCCCTCCCACAGTCCTTCCCATGGCTGACACAGGACTCTGGTCCAGACAGGGACTGGCTCTATCCACTACTGCATGGTTTTTACCCAGGCAGTCCAGACCGGCAGAGTCAAGTCAAAGATCAGTCATGTTGACTGACCTGTGGCCCCACAAGCTGACCCCAAGCAAGACCTTGAAAGCCATTTTCTTTCTTTCAAATGCAGTTCTTTTCCAACGTGCCTGCAATGAGCTTTGGTGCAGATATTTGGGAGTGGAGGGAGACACATATAAAAAAGAAAGAAAAAAAAAAAAAGCCCAGCCAATTGTACAAACCTTACCCTGGAAAGCCAGGCTCTAGAGTGATCAGACCCTTCCCCTATCCCAGGGTCCTGGGCTTTGATGGTCAGGTACAGGTCCATTCGTCACGTTAAAAAGCTGACTGGAAGAGGGATAATGGCTGAGTGTGTGTATGTCTGTGTATCTATATATAATATATATATATATTATATATGTATATATGTATGTGCATATATAATAGGCTATATTAGAAAATTCTCTCTATGTATAAATATAAAACACTGGTATCCAAATACGACACCAACAGCCAACTAAAGTGCTTGACAGGAGTTGGGCATGTGTAAATCTGCAGGTAAAACTAAGTATCCTGAGTGCCAGGATGGGGGGAGCTGAGGAAGCATAACAGTGGAGGCAGAGAAAAGTGGGTGCTGTATAGCCAATGCACCAAGGGTATTCTCCTCTTGGGCTTTCTCAGCCTCAGTGCTGTGTGGTGGCTCTCTCATGTCAACACCACACCTCATCTTTACCCTACTTTCCTCACTGCACTTCCGTCTGGGAGGAACGCAGTGTTGGAAAGTTGGCGTGGGGCAAGAGTTGCTCCCACAGGGAAGGCAGGTCAGGCTGTGTCCACAGCTTCTGGGATTCTGTGAGGGGAGCGTCATGTATATGTAGGCTAAGGGCAGGAGAGGCGGGGGGTTGTCATCATAATTAATAATTTGAAAAAAAAGTTCACCACTATGTCTCCTCCAGGCCAGTCCTGCCTTCACTCCTTAAGGGCCTCTCCCTGGATGAGGGCTGGCAGAGGAGAAGGGAGGCAGCCTCTGTGTGGCTGACCTGGAGGCTGTGATGGATTTATCTGGAAGCCCTAAGCAAAGCATTAGTGACTTCTACCATTCCCAGGACCCCTGCTCTGAAAACCAGGACCATTCTGGTCTTAGACCCACAGAAAATGCTTCCAGACCAGAGTTCCAGGGAACCAAGGAGCCCCAGCACACAGTGCTACAAGAATGGGTTGGTGGTTGGAGGTTTGGAGGCAAATGGTGAGGATCCAGCCTGGAAAAAAACAACAAAGAAGTTATTAGATTAAGGCAGAAGTGCTGAGGCCACAGAAGAAATACACACTTCTGGATTCTCTTCTCCCTCAAAACCACTATGCTGGGAGATGAGGGACACTAGGAAGAAGAGGGCACATGGAGAGGGTGGGGGTGATTTGGGAAGTGACGGAGCCTAGAACTGTTCATTCCTGGCTAGGACAACATTGAACTCCATGAAGAAGGGGTGTGAGTTCCACTTCACACTGCCCTCTTCTGGAAGGATTCTGTCCCCAAAATCACACTGGGGTACTGACCATGAAGGGGTTGGTGGAGATCGCCACTGGCTGGCTCAGTGGCCTCTGCCCCACATTTGAGGATCCTAAGTCCCCGAAGGAAGAGCCTGGAAGGTAAAAGCAATAACAGGTGACAAGTCTGGCCCTTCCTGCTGCTGCCAGACAGCTTGCCCCCCACTCCCCCCCATTCCTGGAGGACAGGCACTTGCAACATTCTAAAGTGACAACAAAGAGGGACCTTTCTGGAACTCTGCAATAAAGGTATGGATGGAGCAGTCAGCAACTGCAGGCAGGTCTGCTGCTCCTTTGCTCCCCCTAATGGTTAGAAATGGAACTAGCTCAGAGGTCTGTGTGTGGGTACAGTACAGGTTGCCTGCTCTCCCAATCCCTGTGTTCCCCCTCAGATTCAATCAACTAGATTAAAAATATTTTTAAAAAATTGTGTCTGTATTGAAAATGTATGGATCCTTTTTCCTATCCATTAAACCCTCAACAATACAGTGCAACAGCTCTTTACATAGCTTTTATATGAGAAGTAATCTAGAAGTGACAAAGTTAATGGGAAGATGTGCACAGGTTCTATCCAAAGACTGTCATTTTACACAAGGAACTTGAACTTCTGAGGATTTTGGTATCTGTGGGGGTCCTGGAACTGATTACAGAGGTGGGAGTAAGAGAAGGCATATCTGATCCCCTTACCATTCTGCTGCTGAGTCAGTGAGGTCTGTAGCGGGTACAGTGATGAGGGGAAGGTGCTGGCAATGGCCCCAGTGGGTGGCACTGGCTGGGGGAAGCCAGGACCAGCACTGCTCATACCAAAGTTGGGCCCTGTGGAGTAAGAGACAGGAGGCTCAGGCAAACATCTGATAGGTTTTTTTTTTTCTTTTTGGTGGGACTGGGGTTTGAACTCAGGGCTTCACACTTGCAAAGCAGGCACTCTACCACTTGAACCAGTCTTCCAGTCCACTTTGCTATAGTTATATTGGAGATGAGGTCTTGTGAGTTATTTGCTCAGGCTGGCCTCAAATCTTGATCCTCCTGATCTTAGCCTCCCAAGTAGCTGGGATTACAGGTGGGAGTCATTGGTACCCAGCTGAGAGCAAATTTTGACCACTCTCTGTGTTCTGTTGTCTCCTCTCTTAAATTGGTACACTATGCATCTCACAAGGACTCTGTGAAACTACAGGTGCACCTGACATGGTCCACCTTGGTTCAGCAATTCCTTTTTTGTTGTTTTGGGGAATACCAAGTGTTTTGAACTCACTTGCTAGGTAAGTGCTCTACCACTTTAGCCACGTTCTAGTCCTTTAGCTTTTTTAGTTCTTTTTTAGATAGGGTCTTGCACTTCTGCTTGGGCCAACATCAGGCCACAATCCTACCTCCATAGCTATGATTATAGGTGCATATCATGACACCCAGCCCTCCTCTCTTGCTGAGCCAAGCAGGGCCCAGCAAGAGTTTGAAGAGACATAGAGGCTGTGGAGGGCCGAACTGAGTGGAGTATATGGCTTGGCTGACAAAGGCAGAGAATAGGGTTGCAATTTCACTATGGTACAATGGTGGCTTAGGCTTGGGGCACAGAAGGCTGGTTGTCCAGATGAACCCAGATGGGGCTGGAGACAGAAGCACTGCCACTGTTGGTCAACATGAAAATAATCTTCAGAACTTCAGGGGAGGAGCTGGTGCCACCTGTTTTTTTGGTTTTGTGTGTGTGTGTGTGTTTTTCCTGATTCTAAAATTCTGGTTGTATTACATGGGTGCTTCTACTTTTACGGCCTGGAACTGAAAATGGGTCTGGTCTGGGCTGGTGAATAGTGACCAGGGCAGGAGCATAGCTGCAGGTCACTCTTCTGTTGGTGAGAGACAGGGCTGCAGGAACCTGGCACCATGGAGTCTAAAAAGGGCAAGGAACAGTGCTGGCAGCTTACCTGGGGCCAGGCCATTGGGCTGGAATGGGTTGGTGGAAGGCAGCTGGGGCTGGGCAGCAGGGGTGGCGAAGGGATTAGTGAAGGCTGCTCAGGGTAGAACAGCAAGAGGTGAGAAAAAGAGATGGCTGTGAGTGTCCCTGTAAACCTTGGTGTGCCTCTCCCCATTCCCCTCCCCACTTTCTTCCTGGCCCTGGATTCCCTCCCTTCCTGGTCTCCACAGGCAGGGCTCACCTCCGAAGGCAAGCCCTGTGCTGCCGCCGGTCGTGCCAGACTGGAGTGAGGGAACTTGGCTGGCCATTCCGAAGATGCTGCAATATGGGGAAGAGAAACGGGGATGTACATCCTCCAAGCACCAGGGAGATAAGCCAATTTCTGGAGCAGGAGACATACCACTGTGCTCTCATGGGCTAGGCAGGGGAGCAAAAGGAAGGTGAGTAGCCCAGGAGGGCGACTGGGCTGGGCAGCACGGCCATCCCCAAAGAGAGTCCCCCTATGTCTGGACTCACCTGCCAGGGATACCTCCAGCTGCCACCCCAGGTCCTAGGAGGCTGCCCACATCTGTGAGGCTGTTGGGTTGACTGACAGCTGTGAGAGGAGCGGCACCAAATGGAGTCACCTGGCTGCTCCCTGGGCAACATAGGAGATAAATCAGAGGTCTGGAGTCAGACAAGAGGGCGGGGATGGAAAAGGAGATGGAGGTGGAGTGCTATGAAGGAAGAGTGGAGTAATGGCAAGAGATGCACCCTGGTTTTCCCTGAGCCAGTCCTTTCCCAAGACCACTCAGCATGGGAGGGCTTGTCTCCTGCGGAGAGTTCTGGGTAAGACCACAGCCCAGCTGTGCTCAAAGTCACCACTGTGAAGAGAAAAGGAATTTCTCCTGTTAGTCTGTTCTTTCTCTTGCTCTACTTTGGCCTACCCGTGCCAGGTGTAAAAGTCTATTCCTTCCTCAAGGGACAAATCTTTCTTTTTTGTTATTGCTAAAGACAGGGTCTGTGGCTATGTAACACAGTCTGGCTGTGAATTTAAGATCCTCCAGCCTCAGCTTCCTCAGTGCTGGGATTCCAGGTTTGACTGACATGGCACATGAAGGGGCAGGCAGAGGAGCTGTAAAGGACAGCAAGTCCTGAGCATACCCAGGAGACACACAGGGACTGCAGATGCCACCAGGGCTGACAAGTCGAAGTCTGCAGCTACTGGCACTTTTTCCCATCAAGTCGCCTCCTCTCAGGAAGCCACCCTGACTGATGCCCTGAGCTTGTGTGTGCTGCTCACAGGGTCCAGGTCAAATGTTAAGGTTCTCCTGCCCTCCCTTATTGGATGTGAAACCCAACAAGAAAAAGCACAGAGGGCAAGTCCCATGTGGAAGTCTTACAAAACAGGAGCAAGAGTCCTGGAAATTCCAAGCAATTTCACCTCCCAGAGGGACTCATAGCTTGAGTGCCTGCCATTTCATGAAGGCCTCTTTATCTGTGTCTCACACTCATCTACATCGTGGGACCCTGTCAACTACCCTGGGATGCTGTGGAAGTAAACTGAGACCACAAATACAAAAAGGCTTTATTTTTAGGAGTGCTGGAAAACTCATTACTGAAGCGCAATGAACTGCTTAGTGTCTCTTACACGATGGTGCCAATGATTGTTTGTGGAATGGATATTTGAATGGGTAGTCAGAAGAACTGAATTCCAGTAATGGCTCTGCCACTTGCTGTGGAAAAGCACCTCCTCTCCTAAGCCTATTTTTTTCCCTTGCCCTCTTTTAGGTAGTTATAAAGATGCTCTGAGATAGGCATAAAGTGTCAAAGTATGAGCCGTTATCACACCTATGAGAAACCACTTCTGGGTTCAAAGAGGCAAGGCAAGCTCTCAAAGTTCTCAGGGTGGCTGTTTGAGATTGGAACCCAAGTAAACAAGGGTCCTCCCCCAAACCCTCAGCTTCCAGCCTTGGCCTTTGACGAGAGGCCCCACCCATGGCTGCTAACTCCTGCTCAGCATCAATCTCAACAAAAACCTGTCTTTGGATGGGCCTTCTCTGACCCACTGAGGTGTATTTGGCCCTGGTTTTCCTCTCATAGCACTGTTTTTTCATAGAACTTGACCTACTTGTAGTGATAAGGGTTTGTTTATTTCTGTATCAACTGTCCTCAGTAAAACAATTAATACCATACTAGGGATCTGCACACAGGCATAAACTGCAAATGTGCAAAATATGGCACATGCAGGGTTATTAATGGTACTACCAATTAGTAGAAGACTAGAATTAACTCAAATATTCATCAGCAAGGGAATGATTAGATGAATTGTAACATATACATATGATGGAGTATTATGCAGTTATAAAGAAGAACAAGGAAAGCTGGGGTAAGCTTAGGGACAGGGTGTGTGCTTAGAATACACAAAGGGCCTTGAGATCAATACCCAGCACCACATATACAAAAAAAAGAGAGAGAAAGAGGAAGAAAGAAGAAAGGAAACAAAGAGCTATAAAAATAAATACATGAGACAAGGAAAAGGCAAAGCCAGGCTGTTATCCCCATGACTACAACCTGGTTTCTAGTCAGGGAAGTTTTGGGTTTTTATTTTTTTGCAATGCTGGGTATTAAACATGGAATTCAGGGCCTATTTTATACTAGGCAAGTGTTCTATCACTGAGCTACATATTCACCCCAGTTTTGGCTTTTTCTTGAACTCCCCAGCACTGTAATTTGGATCTCCATGCTCTTCCTCCCCTAAAGACTGTATCTTTGTTTTTTTAAAGGAACCCTTCCATGTACAAGGTACTGAACATAAACAACAGCACCTGAAAGATCTCAGAAAGCAGCAGGGGAGACAAAGTGCAGCCACCTACTGCCAGATTCTAAAGACCAAGCTGCTGCTACTTCTTTTTTTTTTT